GTTAAACCTTTATCTGATCAATAGTATTTTAGATATCATCGATTTTCAAGCTTAAAAAGTGGTTTATTTGGACAATTAAACTCCACACTGTTTCTATGAGCAGAAATCCTTAAGTCACTTTCACAGTGAAACCCCAATCGAAAATAATTGATCTTAAAAAAGAAAAACTTGGAGTATTCCTTCTGGAGCAGACAAATCTTTTAAGGGTGTCATTGTGAGTCTGACAAACCTTTCTATAAAAAGGAAGGTCACTTGAAATTACGATTACAGACCCCGCGATTTAAAAACTTCGGCTCGAATCCTAATTTCTTAAACCCGACTTTAAGACCCAATCTTTGACCCAACTTTGACGATTTCTTGTGTCACGTGATTGATCGCTGCAATGCAAGATCTTCGGCTCGACTTAAGTAGTTAGGCCCAATGAAAATAAAACCGACCTTGGTTGGTTTTAGTGGAGAATAAGGCTCAATGTTGAGTCTTCTTACAAAAACCCGGAATACACCAATTCTTACCATCAGCCAAATATAGAATATTAAACCGGTTTTTTAAACTCAACTCTGTGGAATATAAGATCCAGCTTGAATCCGAAAGCTCAAGCGGTAAATAAGGTCCAACGACAGCTTAGACCCGAGCCAGATTTTCCCAACTTTTTAAATCGCAGGCTCAGTCCTTTTAACCTAACAATGTGAAAAAGAAAGATATAAAATTTAGCAGGAGAATGTTTTTAAGAATAGAAACTGGATACGATTAGATTTAGTATAAAAAAAACATAAATGGTCTCGTCGGTTTGTTTCCCGTTTTTAACATTCAAGGTTTGGTTTAAGCTTTCAAGAGGCGACGGTTTAAGAATCGGAGATGTTAATTAAATATTTTAAATTAATAAGCTCTAAAGTTTCTTTCATTATTCTGTGCAAAATACAAACTCTAAAAAGCAAACAAAAATTGTTTTAAAACTTTTGAAAACTATCTTTTCAAATTCAAATATTTTTTGAACAAAGAGTTAAATTAGGGTTTTAGAAATAACAAGGATAAAAATATGCAAGTCCAAAAACATGAATAAAGTTAAAACATTTAAATAAAATTTTTTTTTTGCAGGAATTCTTACATTTACCTGCAGAAACATGTCACAGGAAAGTTTACAGGGTTTATTGAAAAATACTACATAATAATCTCTCTAGAAAAGGGGAGGATTCAATAGGTTTACTGTCCCTTTTTACCTTAACAAGTGCAGTTTATTTATATCCGACAAACCCTGTATATTTAACAATGAATAATTAAAGACAGTTGAACAACAATTTTGAGAAATATTTAATTGGTTTTTATTTCTCAGAAAATTAGCTTGATACAAACTTCCACCCTTTCATTTAATTCCAGGCAATATCATTCCCCCCCCCCCCTTATTTCAAAGGGAGAGGTCTCTAAAATTTGAAAAGGGAATTAGGCTAAGCCCAAATTTCATGGATTTCTCTGCGAAAGAAACGTACCGGCCAGATAATTGTCCTTTAAAGTACATCATGTGTATAAAATAAAAAGATAGATAGATAGATAGATAGATAGATAGATAGATAGATAGATAGATTAAAATTATCCTAAAATCTTTCAGAACTCATATATTGTAATATTTTAAGAATTAGTTAAATATATATATATATAATAAATGATTTTAGGGTTGACTGCGATATTCCAATTACGGGAATAATTACTTGTACTCTTCGCTGTTAATATTAAGCGTCTTTTCAACCATTCCCCTTCTTTACGTTATCTATGGAAGTGAAATTAGTGGCGAAAGTGTTTAAGGTTTTATTTTCGCAAATGTTCCCTTGAATCTGGGGAAAACACGAAATCTTGTTAAATTTAGCTAAATCTATTTATTCTATTGCGTAATTTAATCCGTTTAATTACCTAGAGAGGGAATGCATAATTCAAAGAGAAAATGAAAACAGGATAACCAAGGGTTGTTAAATAGTTTAGGGGTCCAGCGAAAAGGAAAAATCGTTTCGCTAAAAAGAAAATGCGAAGATTTCGCAAAAAATAATGCAAGAATTTTGCGATACAAATAATGCGAAAATTTCGCGAAAAAAATTGTTAGAAAATTTCGCGAAAATAGCTAGTGAAGTAAAATTCTCTTCATCACACATTTATTAAAGTAATGGAAGAGAAATTATAATAAAATTTCAAATATTGAGCTATCAGAGCTGAGAATTTCAAAAGTTCTTTTGAGCAATTTATTGTTGCAGCTGTAAACTCATGGTTTTCACAAAATTTTCGCATTTTCGCTAAATTTTCGCAATTCGCATTTTCGCAAATTTTGGCTTCGTTTTCGCGAAAATTAGTGAAGCGAAAACGTTTGCGAAATGCAACCGAAAATATTCACATTTTTTCGCGAAACGTTTCGTTTGCTGAAATTCCAATCAATTATACCTTTAAATATTTGAAGTTTAACAAGATAATTTAACAGTTCGGTCCCCGTTACAGCTAAAGCTGAGTCTTTCGATTACAATTTGACCTTTAATCAAACATAAATTTTACGTTTTTTCTTCCATACTTTTTTTGTTGGCGAATGCAAGACAGAAAAAATATTTAAAGACATAGATTGTAAGGATTGATCAACTATATGTATAGACCAAACACAACCGAATTTAAATTGAAGAAACCGAACCCATCTAGCAAGGAGTGATATTATTATCTCATCTCCCCCTCATCCCCCTACACCCTCTGCTATTCAACCCCTGATCAATATTAACAAACTAGAAAAAAGAATCTTTAAAGTCTGCACTTTTGTATGAAATAAAATCTTTGAAAACTAAACAACTTATATATTTAAAGTCACATTAAGCTAAGTAGGCAAATGCAAGGTTCTATCTCATAAATCACAATGAATATGACACCCCACCCCCCATTTTAACCCTGTAAACTCCAGCAGTTATGTTACCCCTATGGGGACGGTATAACATGTGTGTGTGATGGTGTCGGCAGAATATATAAATGCTTCCCTCAGGTATAAATTGTTTAAATTGTAAAGATAGATTGGGAACTCAGCTTTGACTGGAGATCCAAACAATTTTTAAAATCGAGATATGAACATTCCTGCATTTCTAACGACGTACTCATTCCAAAAAGTGAAATCGGTTAGGCCTTCTAGAAAACTGAAAAAAAACAGACAAACAGAAAAAGACAGATTACTTTACTTGACACCTTATCTATATATATAAAGTTGTAATCTCTGTTTGTCCGATCATAACTCAAAAACCCCTGGACTGATTTTGATTAAGAAAATCGGGAGGCCCACGGTAATGTTCTTAGCTTGATTTTATGGTTCTAAGTTAAGTGGGTCGACTTTAATAGCAAAAATTTAGTTTCACGGTAAAATCAAGTGCTGGTAAACGGCAGAAGTAAACTAAAACTGAAATCTCTATTTGTCTGTCTATTTGTTGGTCCGATCATTACTCGGGAACCCCAAGGCCAATTTGCCTCAAATTTTGATAGGAAACTTGGGAAACTCACAGGAATGTTCTTAGCTTGGTTTTAAGATTCCAAATTGAGTGGGAAGAAACCGAACCGGAGTTTACAGTATTTACATCTATATAATAAAGCTACTGTGAGGGAACCCTTGAGTACCTCGGGGGTAACATGGGCTAAAAAAAATCAAAATTATTTTTTCAAAAATTTAATTTTTAAAACCCGGGCAACACCGATTTCTTTTGCTGGTTACGTATAAATATTTGATATTTGTTTAGCTTGAAACCGAACCTAAACAGAAGCAGAGTATGATGCAGAAAATAGATGATTCTCTTTTCAAACCAAACCTCAAACCTCCATTTCTGGACGGCAGGTGAGAGAATATATATTGAAGGGTGATATTATTATTACCCCCCCCCACAATAGGGGGAGGGGTGTTTTCCACTATCCACTGTGGTTTTATCTAAATAAATACGGCATACAGAAGAACACTAAATTTTCATTACTTTTTCAACTTCATAGGTTTCAACAAATTTTGCTATTTTTTATGTATAGAAACAGGGTACGGTGGAGTACCGTCAAATAGCGGGTCAGTATTTGAAAAAATTAAAATGGTTAATAACTTTTTTTTTCATTAAAATAAGAGAAGTTTTATTTTTTATCCGAAAATTTAAATTAAAAAAATCACATTTCTATAATGACGAACGTTGAACAGTCTCCTTTTTGTAAATGTATAGAAATTGATTTTGATATTTTGAATATTCTGATACTTTTCCCTTTACAGACTCTGCCCTCAGGCTTTTGATGAAAATTGAAAAAAAAACTATTAAATTCATACAGGCGACAGATATTAGGTTTAAACTCATAGAGATTGTAAACAAAATAAAAGAATTTTGTTACGTTTATGAGAGTCAAAGAGGGGAGTAATAAAAAGTAGCAGGATAAGGGAAAAGGGGGTAGTAGTCGTGTAGAAGGAGGGGAAGGTTAGAAGGATGGGAAGTGTAGAAGGAGGGGAAGGGTAGAAGAAGGGGAAGGTCTATTTTAAAACATG